AGACAAAGTGACAGGACAGAGACAGACAGAAGCGAGATGGTGGAGGCTGACTCCATAAACAGTTTAAAATGTAGATATGACCGAGGCCAGTAGGCTCAGGAACCTGTACATCAGTTGATTGACAGTTGATCAGAGTGGCGAGATGTCACCAGCGGAGTCCCACAGGGCTCAGTACTTGGACCCATCCTGTTTCTAATATATGTGAACGATTTTCCAGTGGGTATAGACTCATTCCTCTCAATGTTTGCTGATGATGCAAAAAATTATGAGAAGAATCAGACGGATGAAGATAGACAGAGACTACAGGATGACTGGATAAACTGGAGGAATGGTCTAGAAAATGGCTGCTAAAGTTCAACTCAGGAAAGTGTAAGGTGATGAAATTAGGCGAAGGGAGCAGGAGGCTGAACACAAGGTATCATCTGGGAGGGGAAATCCTGCAAGAGTCAAATAGAGAGAAGGATCTGGGGGTTGATATCACACCGAACCTGTCCCCAGAGGCCCACATCAAAAGAATATCATCAGCGGCATATGGTAGACTGGCCAACGTAAGAACTGCCTTCAGAAACTTGTGTAAGGAATCTTTCAGAACCCTGTATACCACTTATGTAAGACCAATCCTGGAGTATGCAGCTCCAGCCTGGAGTCCATACCTAGTTAAACACAAGACAAAGTTAGAGAAGATCCAGCGGTATGCCACCAGGCTCGTCCCGGAACTGAGAGGATTGAGCTACGAGGAAAGGCTAAAGGAGCTGAACCTCACATCCCTGGAAAACAGAAGAGTAAGGGGAGTGATGATAACCACCTACAAAATTCTCAGGGGAATTGACAGGGTGGACAAAGACAAACTCTTCAGCACGGGTGGGACACGAACAAGGGGACACAGGTGGAAACTTAGTACCCAGATGAGCCACAGAGACGTTAGAAAGAATTTTTTCAGTGTCAGAGTAGTTAATAAATGGAATGCACTAGGAAGTGATGTGGTGGAGGCTGACTCCATACACAGTTTCAAATGTAGATATGATAGAGCCCAGTAGGCTCAGGAATCTGTACACCAGTTGATTGACAGTTGAGAGGTGGGACCAAAGAGCCAGAGCTCAACCCCCACAAGCACAATTAGGTGAGTACAGAGACAGAAAGACTGAGAGACTGACCAAGAGACAGAGAGACAGAGACAGAGAGACAGACAGAGAGACCATTTAACTTAGGGCAACACCGACAAGCTCATGTCTGTCCCATACCCCAGACCATTCAATCGTCAAATTTTGGGTAAGGCTAGCCCTAAGCGCCTGGTTTGGCCTCTAATTCTAGACAGACAATTAGACATTTTCTCTTTTCTTATATGAATGAGTTTGGGTGAATGTAAATAGGGTCAATCTCTTTTTAGACCAATAGGCCTAATGCAGTTTCATTTATCTATATGTTTGGTTATCAGGAATAATGCCTAGATATTTCTGTTCTGTGTGAAAATCAAAGCCATAACCTGACTGTGATGACTATTGTGCTACAGAACTAGCATTCAAATCTAGAAGTGTAATATCTATCTTATCTAGAAGTGTCAAATCTAGATATATATGAACATATGTTTCAGGTTATCATTCTCTTGTTAGGCCCCAATTACATTATGCACTTCAGTTTTTGGCACCTTACTATAAAACAAATAAATTCTCTTCAAGTGTATAGATAAAGATGACAAATGTAATCCTGGGCATTAGGATCCTCCTTTCTGAAGAGAGATTAAGAAGGCTTAATTTACATTATCTTAGAAAGGCCAAGAAGAAATGGGTATATAACTAATGTATACAAATGGAGGAAATATGGGTATTAAAAAGGTGCTAAAATATCAAGCAAACAAAAATATAAGGGACAAAACTTGGTAAGTTTAGCTTCATAAAAGAATTAGGCAAGTGCTGGTTTGAAAATAGGGGTTTAAGATTTATAGAACAGGCTGGTGGCTAAGAGAAAGATGTATTCACCTAGTTGTGCTTGTGGGAGTTGAGCTCTGGCTCTTTTGGCCCGCCTCTCAACTGTCAATCAATCAATAGTTTTTTGTTTGTTCTTTCACCCCCTCCCCCCCCCCTCCCAGGAAGCAGCCCATAACAGCTATCAAACTCCCAGGTACCTATTTACTGCTAGGTAAACAGGTGCATCAGGGTGAAACAAACTCTGCCCATTTGTTTCTGCCATCGCCAGGGATCGATCTCCGGACCATAGGATTATGAATCCCGAGCGCTCTCAACTCGGCTGTCAGGCCCCCTTGTGGAATCGCTGGACTGTTTCAAGCTTAGGTTAGACAAATGGAGGCATATCTGCCACAACTAACCTGTGACATCAATAACAAAAGCTCCATCTTCATATATCTGCCTTTGGATGTGCATAGCAGAAAGAAATGTGATGGCTGCTGCCAGGGTCACGTGGTGGACCAGGGTGATAGGCAACAGAAGCATCAGCACGTAGCAACCTATCACCAGCAGCACTGCCAACAGCACCTGTCTGGAAATAAGCATATTTTTACTCATCTGTCAGTCAAAGTTATTGTTAAAAACAAAGAGTTTCTCTCATTCCACCACCAAAGCAACTGATCAGTCTGGTGGTGGCAACTGAACCAAGCAACCGAACCACGAGCCAGGTTCTGGTTCAAGGTCCTTGGTAGGCCTAGAACTCCATGTGCAGTGACTGATGCCAGGGATCTAATACATTCATATCAGCCAGGTTAGCTCCGGGGAGCCAATGGGGCTCCCACACCCAGAAAATCATTCCAGAGCTTAAGTCAACTCATGTACAAAGAATGGCTGAGGGCCACAGGGCTAACAACACTGCAAACCAGGCATTACAGGGCAGATCTCATTGAAAATGATAAATACTAAACAATTTGGAGGATGTTGATCCGGAAAATTTCTTCAAAATGTCAGATGTAACACAAACAAGGAGCAATGGCTTCAAGCTCAATATGCCACAATGTAGGACTGAGAACAGGAGATACTTTACACCCACTAGGGTTATAAACCCATGGTAGATATGGAACTGCCTACCCACCGAAGCCGTAAATGCTAAAACTGTTAACTTTCAAAGTACAGCTGGACAAGATCATCAAGGTAAATTGAGGGGGGACCATAGACAAGCTGCTGGCTTCCTGTCCTCGTCAAGGCCCCTAGTGTTAGTGGCTCTCAGGTAAGCTCAGGTAAGACAAGCCAGCCATTTGTACTTTATGCCCAAGCCATCCAACTACAGTGGAACCTCGGTTTTCGAATTCCCTTCTTTTCTAATTTTGTTGTTTCTCTAGTTCAATTTAAAAAAAATTGACTCTGTATTTGGGGTTTGCCTCGGTGCTCGATTTTGTTGATACACGCACGGGCCAACCAAGCACATAACACTCTTCAGTTTACCAGTCTATCGGCCTAGTGACTACTGCGCTATAGTTCTTTGTGAACAATTTCAATGCTTTTGTACTTTTTTGGTTTCTGAACATAAAAGTTCTTATATATCACGTCAAGGGTTCCAAGAAAGTCAGTGGTAACGTTCAACCTAAGAAAATAGTTGTGAGGATGACGACAGAGGAAACACAAGAGATCATTCATAGTGAGACAATGTGATGTCTCACTACAGACAAGTGTTAAAAGGCAGGGAAAAATAAATGTCTATAGACAGATTCTTAGAAAGACAAGCAAGCAGTGAGCCACAACCAGGTCCTAATGGTATGCCTGCAAAACATAAGAGAATATCCCAGAAATGGCATCACTGCTGTTATAATGGAAGAGGGACTCCTCTTCCAAACACTAACACCTCCCCTCCTCCCCTCTTCTTCACTGTCTTCCACATGACAACAGGAGTTCTCAATAAAGGTAAGATATACTTGTACATGCAGTACTGTAGTACAAAATATTAGTAGTATGTATAAAATGTATTTTTAAGTAAATATTTTTTGGGGGTGTGGAATGGATTAATTAAATTGTCATTATTTCTTATGGGAAAATTTGTTTTGGTTTTTGAATTTTCTGTTTTTTTTAGCCGTCTCTGGGAACGGATTAAATTTGAAAATGGAGGTACCACTGTAATCATAATAATCAAGAAATTAGCTGAGAGCAGAATGTCTACTGCAAGTTGGCATTTACTTTAAAAAGCTGACAATATCTGCAGTCACAAGCAGGTACACACCCCATGACACTGGAGATAGCTTATCTGCTAGCTGAGGGCTTTAATGTTGACGCTTCATCATTAATATGATAAGACAACAATGATTATGCCACTTAACAAACAAATGCTTAAAATAAGCTGAAATTGCACCGAGATAATAGACAACTTTTTTCTTTGGTAAATACACAATACAGTAGAGCACAATAATATCAATAATTAACATTTATCATTGTTAACAATAAAAGTAGAATAATTTTTCTTGTGAAGCTAAGTGAATTTAAATTAGATCTCAATAAATTGAGGAATGTAAGTACAGTACTGTAGTCCCAATAGCCACTTTCCTCTGAGTATTGAGGGAGTTACAAGAGATAGCATCCAGATGAACGACTCAAGTTCTCAGAATATCAGGATGACAGAGGACACCTGAGCATAATTCCATAGATGACATCACTGCAGGTGCATCAGGAGTTGGGAATAAAAGTGACATGGTCAGGTCAAAAAAGGATATGGAGAACAAATCCACAAGGGCAGTGATGAGGATTCGAACCTGCGTCCGGGAGCATCCCAGACACTGCCTTAATCAACTGAGCTACGACAGGGTAAAAGGGTTGAAACCGAAGTTCTACTGAACTTACTGGATCCCGTAGCCTCTCCGAGGCACAAACCAGGCTTTTACACAACCCCCCCCTGCACCCGAGCTATGTTAACAGGCCGTTCTCCCTCTTCGCCCTTACATCATCACACACAGAGATCACAATAACGTGATGCATCAAATGAACTAATGTGTGTTCTCTGTGTGTGATGATGTAAGGGCGAAGAGGGAGAACGGCCTGTTGACATAGCTCGGGTGCAGGGGGGGGGGGGTTGTGTAAAAGCCTGGTTTGTGCCTCGGAGAGGCTACGGGATCCAGTAAGCTCAGTAGAACTTCGGTTTCAACCCTTTTACCCTGTCGTAGCTCAGTCGATTAAGGCAGTGTCTGGGATGCTCCCGGACGCAGGTTCGAATCCTCGTCACGGCCCTTGTGGATTTGTTCATTTGATGCATCACATTATTGTGATCTCTGTGTGTGAAGGATATGGAGGATTGGACCCAGGGAAGCAGCGGCATTAGTCGTCGAAAGGTAAGTCTCGTCCGAACCACATATGTTCTATGTATGTGGTAAGCCTTGACAAAGCTCTCTGGAGAGTGCTAAAAACTGTGTGTAAATCTTTAAATAAAATTCACAAATACATGTGGGTTTTTATTCTAAATAATTAGAATAATAATGATCATAATTAATATTTTAATGTTTAATTACATGTAAATGTAATTACCTAAGTGTAGCTAAAGGATGAGGAATACACCGACATTGTCCTATCTTCATTATAATCTTTGCCAGGAACTTAGCTCTGGCTCTCCATACTATTGTGGCTGCCTTTCTTATTATCTTCAAACATGTTCCATTACCTATATCATATTCCTTCCTCCCTTGACCTTCCTCTAGTAGTCGAGGGTTGAATACAACACCTACCACTATCTTCAACATCCTCATTGTTATCATACCAAGTACCAAATCCAGCTGCTTCATTACCTCCAGAATCTCTACTTTCTCAAAGCTTCAGTGTTACTGTATCAGTAGGACTACTCCTCCTCCTCCCATTGCACTTGTCTTATGAAGAGTAGTGCAGTATGAGGAGGGGGGTTCTAGATACACTGCTTAAAAATACCTAAGCATAATTCAAGGGGTTCCTCCCCACCTCCCCCCCCCCCCTGCCCTTTCTCCATTGCATATGTTTTTGCCAACTTAGGGAATCAAAAGTGAATACCTTCCAAAACAAAAGTAGGAGATACCCAGTCCTGCAGCCATTGAGCCCCAGTGACGAGTTGTAGTCGAGACACGTGAAGGATGGCAGTAGACCCGGAATATATATGCCAGTACCAGGGCCGTCACTTGCCCCAATATAAAATTGACCTGAAATATATATAAAAGTTTTATTAGTACCGGACATTTATAGCAAAAAATTGGACTTATAATTAGTTTTATAAAAACATTTAATGGCAAAATATTGTATACAGAATTGTATTATACCAGAAACTACATTAATATGGTAAGTATGATACTGTACTACATATGGTTCAATTGCATTATAGATATTAATACTAGTATCCCTGGTTAATCAAGTACAGTATCTCCCAACATAAGCAATTTTATACAATAATTTTGATATACAAATTTGACTTCATTCTGCATAATTTTTCTTCTATAGCCAAAATTCCTCTTGAATGCCATTACCTACCCCCTTCCCACCTCCCTCTTCATTAGAAACACTCAACCCATCCATCCTGTACAATATATAAAATGTTCATCACAATAATAAGTACAGAATGAATATTTTAATGGTTGGTTTCCATTGTCAAGGACAGGAACCCTCTTAGGCTTATTCAGGTCACCCCCCCCCAAGACCAACTATATGTACAAACATTTCACAGGATGCAACCCACAATAGTTGTCTAACTCCCAGGTACCAATCTATTGTTAGGTGAACAGTGGTACCAAGTTTATACCTCCACACTAAAATATATGTGAATCAACCAACCAGACCATTCACTTCTAAGCCAGAGTACAGTGAGTACTAAACTACAGGTGCGGTTATATATAAAGGTAGTTGTATGTGGTGGTGCCGGGCTAAATCTAACTCCAAATTGTACAGTAATATACAATTAAATTGTAATGACAATGTCTACGTGCTATGCTCTTATTATAACTTCCACTAACGTGTAGCAACTGTAATACAAGTAATACAGTGCATCCTCGTTCTATCAAACCCCACTCTATCAAATTCCCGGAAGATCCAAACAAATTTAATTCGGTACTAAATGTTCAGTGGAGCATACAAATGTACGATTAGGCGAGGATTGTTCGTTCAAGCGGTCGCCCAGACTGAGCTTCAGGAGGTGGCTGTCATCAACTATGATTCACCAAAGTGTAAACAGTTATACAGTGTTTTATTATGCTTACTCATTGTTTCCAGGGAGAAGTGGTTGAAGGATGATAGTGTTATCAGGGGTCATTGGTGGGAGTTGTTGTCAGGGAGGGCAAGTGGTGTCAGTACTGTAGTTAGGTTTATTGTCAGGAGGCAGGTGGTATCAGTGGTGGAATTGGTCAGGGAAGGCAGGGAGTGATAGTGGTGTCAGGGGAGGCAGGTGATGTCAGTGGTAGAAGTTATTAGGGAGGCAGGTGGTGTTAGTGGTGGAAGTTGTCAGGAGGCAGGTGGTGTTAGTGGTGGAAGTTGTCAGGAGGCAGGCGGTGTTAGTGGTGGAAGTTGTCAGGAGGCAGGTGGTGTTTGTGGTGGAAGTTGTCAGGAGGCAGGTGGTGTTAGTGGTGGAAGTTGTCAGGAGGCAGGTGGTGTTAGTGGTGGAAGTTGTCAGGAGGCAGGTGGTGTTAGTGGTCAGGGAAGGCAGGGAGTGATAGTGGTGTCAGGGGAGGCAGGTGGTGTCAGTGATGATCTCTGGCCTGAGTTATCAGCTAATTGGCAACACTTGGCTGCTGCCTATATGCTGTACTCATTGTCTGCTTTTCAACAAATTAGCTGAGAAAATGTTACCATTTCAGTTGCTTGTAACACATCGCTGTATCATATGCCATAGTCAAAATGAAAAATTAATAATAAATGGTGGTGTAAGTGGTGAGGGGATATATTAGTGGGGGGGGGGGGGAGTGGGAAGGCATCAGGGGAGAAAGGGCGAGTTGAGACGCCTCCTCCAGGTCTGCTGGCCTGAGTGACCAGCTGACTTCTGCACCACGTGGCTGCCTCAATACTAAACTCACTCGCTGCTTTTCACAGAATTAGGAAAAAAAATGTTACTATTTCAGTGGCTTGAAACATATCACTATCATATTCCATAATCAAAATGAAGAATTCCTAATAAATAAATAAGTGGTGAGGGGAATGTATTAGTGGGGGTGGGAAGGCAACTAGCCTCTACCTCTCAACATTTGTACTCATTAATATGTACTGTACATATATGTATATTACTTTGTGTATTCCTTATTTATATTAATACAAAAAAAAATATTTCATTTAGCTGTCAGTGGAGGCAGGTAGTGATAGTGGTGTCAGGAAAGCAGGTGGTGTCAATAGTGATGTTGGCAGGAGAGGCAAGAGGTGAAAGTTGTTGCCAGGGTAGGCAGGTGATGTTAGAAGTGAATGTTACTTAAGGCAGGTGGTCACAGTGGTAGGGGGATTACAGTGGTACCTTGGCTTACGAGCGCCCCTGGTTACGAGTTTTTCGGGTTACGAGCAGGATTTGCTCAGAAAATTTGGATCGGGATACGAGCGTTGCCTCGGGATACGAGGGTGTTGATACGCGTACGGGCCGACCTAGCGCGTGGTGGCACGGCGATCGCCCCTCAGTTTACCAGTGCCTCGCGCCCAGTGACTATCCCGCCTGAATTCTTCACCAGGATTTACAGTGTTTTGTTGGATATTTGGCCATTTGAACATAAAAGTTGTTATTATATATCTCGCAATGGGTCCCAAGAAAGCCAGTGGTAAGGTTCAACCTAAGAAAATAGTTGTGAGTAGAGGCAGTAGAGGATGTCCCTTCCTCATTAAGAAAATGTGTGAAGTATGGGAAGAACTGCAAAGTTTTGTTGAAAAAACTCACCCAGATAAAGCTGTAGCAGGCCGTTGCATTGACCTTTTAAATGACAATGTGATGTCTTACTACAGACAAGTGTTAAAATGTAGGGAAAAACAAGTGTCTTTAGACAGATTCTTAGTAAGACAAGCAAGCAGTGAGCCACAAGCAGGTCCTAGTGGTATGCAGGCAAAACGTGCCAGAGAGTGCACACCAGAGAAGTCCTCACTGCCTGATGTTATAATGGAAGGGGACTCCCCTTCCAAACAGTAACACCTCTCCTCCTCCCCCCTCCTCACCATCTTCCATACGCCAACAGCAGTCATCAGCAAGGGTAAGTAATAACTTGAACATACTTTTGTAGTGTAGATTTCGATGAATTAGGTATAAAATTTAGTTTGAAGTGAGGTTTTTGGGTAGTCAGGAACGGATTAATTCATTTCCCATTATTTCTTATGGGGAAATTAGCTTCGGTTTACGAGTTTTCGGGTTACGAGCCGTCTCCAGGAACGGATTAAACTCTTAAACCGAGGTACCCCTGTACCATCCCCCCCACCAGACTTCTCTGACACCATCCCCCACCACTGACACCAGACTTCTGACACAATCCCCACGATGTATTAATGTGGTTGTAATTTTTTTTTTTTAAGAAAGGGTCGGACGGATGGAACGAATTCTGCATTGGAACAAATCGTTTGTTTAAGTGAGGACACACTCTATAAATGCTCAAAACTTTTCAGAAGTTTCATTACAGGCAGTTAGATATATACCTGGAGCATACCTGGAGAGGGTCTCAGGAGCTAATTAAATTAAATTAAATTTTTTTACTCAGGAAAAGTACATACATAATTGATTTACAAACAAAGTTGGATTTATTGATAGAGCTAGTAGATACAATACCTAAAGCCACTAATACGCATAGTGTTTCGGGCAACGTTATTCATTGTTCTATAAGTTCTTTTATTTCCCGAGCCTGGCCTGAGACCAGGCTCGACTTGTGAAAACTTGGTCCATGGTCCAACAAGGTGTTGCTTGTAGTGGCCCACAGGCCCACATATTCACTATAGCCTGGTTGGTACGGCACTTCTTGCATGAATTTGTCAAAGTGCCCCTTGAATACATCCACCTTTGTTTCAGCAATATCTCTGATGCTTGCTGGGAAGGTGTTGAACAGCTGTGGACCTCTGATGTTCAGACAGTACTCTCTGATTGTGCCTATGGCACCTCTACTCCTCACTGGTTCTATTCTGCATTTCCTTCCATATCTTTCGCTCCAGTATGTTGTTATTCTACTGTGCAAATTTGGGACCTGGCCCTCCAATATTTATCATGTATATATTATTTTATACCTTTCTCATCTCTTTTCCAGATGAGAAAATCTGACATTAACATTTTGAGAGCTTTGAAACAGTCCCAATAATTTAGATGTTTCATTGTTTCTATGGGTGTCATATATGTTCTCTCTCTTCCCTCTAATGTGCCTGTTAATTTCACATAACTTATCCCTAAGAATTCTACACAAATCCTATGTGTATTTATTACAATTGATACTTCTTACCAAGGTTTCCAGAAATCATTCAGGAGAGCCAAAAAGTAACTAGCAAGATGATGGTCAACTTGGCAAGGCAAGTGAAGCATGGAATAATAGCTGCCACGAACAGAGCATCGTCAGTCTAACACCAATAGTGGTTCCTCTTGAGGTTATCTTGAGATGATTTTTGGACTTGGCATCCCCACGACTCGGTCTTCAACCAGGCCTCATTTTTGTTACACACCCCCCAGGAAGCAGCCCATAACAGCTGTCTAACTCCCAGGTATGTATTTACTGTTAGGTGAACAGAACAACAGGGTGAAAGAAACTCTGCCCATTTGTTTCCGCCTCCACTAGGTATCGAACACAGAACCACACGACTACGAATCATGAGCACTGTCCACTCAGCTGTTAGGCCCCTTTTACTCAGCAAGTTAGTTTTGGTGGCAATAAGCACAGATAGCCATAAAATAAATATATTTGGACGAATGTGGTATACAAGTTTGAAGGTGAAGTTTGACTATCAACGGTGTAACAGTATGTCGGTCAGTTGAATGTTATGATGTCCACTGATGAATGTTGATGGTGCTGAAGATCTGCGGCATATCTAGAGCATCTCTCACTCTCACTAAGAGGTTCTGTAACTACACTTGGGTTCTAGGTACATGTTCTCCAGCTGTACCTAGAAGCGGGTATGATATCACAGCCCATCCTCCCATTTTTGGTAATACAGTACAGTACTGTACTATACTTATAGTAACGATAAGGACCATAGTATATATACAAGTATATACCGATGC